TGCCATTGACGGTTGATATATTACTGATGATATGCTAAACACCTGAAAGCGCATAAAGAATCAGTCTAATTGTCTCCTCTCAATGCTACAGAGCGTTTGCACATCAACCATTTCTCTAACTTTACCTTCTCATATCCAAGATCGTAACTTGTTCGAAATACTTTGTATAAAACATTCGTAATGAAAACAGGGGTTCCATTTTTATTTGGTTGCTGGTGTAAAACATTATTATCAATACTTTTCTTATCAGTTGCTTTCACAACCTTACGTAGAGATGTTGCATCATCGTGAATCAAACGAGGTCTGTTGAAGATAAACCTATTTTGATAGGGTATGAAATACCTGTATTCCGCTGATTCAGTATGGCGTAAAATCAGTCCGAAAGAAAGATTCACTTTAAAGAATTTTCTCCGTGTTGAAATATATATGATGGTTGCTCTCCGAAATCGATAGAATCAGGATTTTCATTTCCAGTCAATGGAAAATTGTACGTACACACAATATCTCTCGCTTCAGAACTGCTATATCTCCTGACTATAATATCCCTGTGAGTGTCGTACGTATCCTGAAGTGGTTCAGCCGTAAGCAATCGTCTCCTGTGATCGTCCTGACTCCAAGGTTCTGGTTGTAACCCTTCCCTGATTACATCGCCATTTGTTGATGTATACGACGATGATGTCACCATAACAATTTATGATTCAATTGGAAACTTGCATTTGACATAGTCGACCTTTATGTATGTTCTCTATTTCCTTTCTCTTAGAAGTGTTGTTCACCTCGTCAGATTTCCACCGAGCTTGGTGTTGTCTGAAATTACGGGAATTATCAAAACATTTTCCGCATAAATAACACAAGTGTACAGAAACTGTTGACGTATTACATTTTTCTATATGAATGTTAAACTTTGTTCGAGTCAAAAATTTATATGCATGTGCTTGAACAAGGTGTCGGTTCCTTCAACTTCTTGCCACACATTGTGATATGGACCGACATGTCGTGTTCATTGTCACACAGTGTGCCACTTAGATGACATAAATGGTCACTAGAGATTCCATCACCAGCAGCCACTGCCCTCGATTGGCAATGCATAATGTGATTGATAAAACATCTCCTGGATTCGATATTGAATGACATGTCATACATTCATAAAAACTATTAACGCTATAAGAGGAATCAACAACATGCTGATTAAATAGGAGGGTGACAACTGGAAAAAATATCACCCACTGCCATGGTAACCGCCAAACTCTCCGTCGAGAAGCTGTTTCGCTAACAATCGTATGTCGTTATAATATGACGCATGCCGTGTCCGGAGCTCGAAAACCGTTCGATTAGCTGTTTTTGAGTTCAGTATGTAGACATTTCTTTCACCGACTTTCACTACTTTTTCAAAACTATTTTATACATTGAATCCTTTGCACAGTCAACTTAAACACAATTAACCATTTTTATAGAAGTTTTAAGATTGTCAGAATATGTTTCACTGATTTAAAAAATCCAGTCGAGAGGCAGACGCCATTTTGTTTACATGTCATATAGTCGGTAGCGATCTTCCAAATAAAATAATATGATATTTTGTACATTTAACATGGCGGTAAGATAAATGCGTTGTATGCTTCTCCCTCGGGTAATACGATCTGATGTACGCCTCTTTGTAGCAGTGTCATCCCTCGCATACCGGCACGGGTAACACTGCTACAAAGAGGCGGACATCAGACCGTATTACCCTCGAGAGAAGCATACAACTTATAACGTGCATCTTGTTGCTAAGCGATACACCCAGCAACATTCTGCAAGCGCATGTGGACCGGAGAATCAAGTGACTGACATCATGAGCATCCACCAACGAAATTGGGATACAACGCCTGACCACCCGATCCCGTTAGTCGCCTCTGACGACAATCACGGGTTGCTAAAGACCAATCCTGATCTGAAACATTACGAGTCCACTGATAAAGGGGCTGATCTAATACATTAGTATCTGTATCAGAGCTCTATTGGTTCTTATGAAAGAGATGACGAAATACAATCTACTGGGGGCCACAGTTAGGTATTTAGTCAATCTATGTAGGAGGGTAGTTTAGTTTAGTTCTCTACCATGACCGATACCACGATCGATATAAAGTTTGATTCTTAATTGATAATATATATCTCACGAAGCATATTATATCTGAAAAGGAACAGGACTGGCATTGAGTCAGCATTCAAAGAATACTTCCACAAAACGCAAAAATATAATTTGATTTACACACGTGCTATTCGTTATCTCTCAGGTGAGGTGAGGTGAAATTGGGTTTTACGTCTTACTTGAGAATATTTCGCTCATATGACGACGTGCATACATGTGTATGTGTATGTGCGGCTGCTTGTACTAGCCCTGACTTAAGCTGGTTTTATAGTACTAGCCCACTGAGATACCATGTCGCAGTGAAGCATGAATACCCCACTCAGACACATTATACTGACTCCGAGCCGACCAGTCCTTCTTGTACCCATTAATGCCGAGCGACAGGCAGGGACCAACAAGTACCAATTTTTAACGTCTTTTGGTATGACGCGATCGGGGATCGAATCCACGACCTTCCGCTCTCCGGGCGGACGCTCTAACCACTACACGACGGAGGCGGTCTCGTTATCTCTCAAAGTACTACAGCTGGAATATTGCTGAGTGCGGACATTTCGTACCCATTCTTATATTTACAAACAAATTACTACATAAAGCTAGAGATTCCTTGTTGCAGGAGTTAATGACGGTTAAATAGACTTAATGAAATTTGACAACATTTATTTGAACTTTCATACAAATTATTGCCCGATTAGAAGTCAACACCTTGTGACATGGCCACACTTGATTGCAATCGCGTCAAGTGAGTTCATCTCAAGAGATATTCCACTCAAGCAGCGAGAAGTGACAGTTCCTACACAAGACTTAGTAAAACGGAACTGACATCACACAACATTTATCAAATAAAAATCGATTTAGCGCCTCTTCCGTTGAGACCGCCTCAGTGGTGTAGTGGATAGAGTATTTGTCAGGAGACCACCTCCGTGGTGGAATGGATAGAGCGTCTGTCCGGAGACCACCTCCGTGGTGTAGCGGATAGAGCGTCTGTCCGGAGACCACCTCCGTGGTGTAGTGGATAGAGCCTCTTTCCGGAGACCACCTCCGTGGTGTAGTGGATAGAGCGTCTGTCCGGAGCCCACCTCCGTGGTGTAGTGGATAGAGCGTCTGTCCGGAGACCACCTCCGTGGTGTAGTGGATAGAGCGTCTGTCCTGAGACCACCTCCGTGGTGTAGTGGATAGAGCGTCTGTCCGGAGACCACCTCCGTGGTGTGGTGGATAGAGCGTCTGTCCTGAGATCACCTCCGTGGTGTAGTGGATAGAGCGTCTGTCCGGAGACCACCTCCGTGGTGTAGTGGATAGAGCGTCTGTCCGGAGACCACCTCCGCGGTGTAGTGGATATAGCGTCTGTCCGGAGAGCCACCTCCGTGGTGTGGTGGATAGAGCGTCTGTCCGGAGACCATCTCCGTGGTGTAGTGGACAGAGCGTCTGTCCGGAGACCACCTCCGTGGTGTGGTGGATAGAGCGTCTGTCCGGAGACCACCTCCGTGGTGTAGTGGATACAACATTTGTCTGGAGTCCACCTCCACCTCCGTGGTGTAGTGGGTAGAGCGTCTGTCCTGAGACCACCTCCGTGGTGTAGTGGATAGAGTATATGTCCGGAGACCACCTCCGTGGTGTAGTGGATAGAGCGTCTGTCCGGAGCCCACCTCCGTGGTGTAGTGGATAGAGCGTCTGTCCGGAGACCACCTCCGTGGTGTAGTGGATAGAGAGACCACCTCCGTGGTGTGGTGGATAGAGCGTCTGTCCGGAGACCACCTCCGTGGTGTAGTGGATAGAGCGTCTGTCCGGGAGAGCACCTCTGTCCGTGGAGACCTGTCCGGAGACCACCTCCGCGGTGTAGTGGATATAGCGTCTGTCCGGAGAGCCACCTCCGTGGTGTGGTGGATAGAGCGTCTGTCCGGAGACCATCTCCGTGGTGTAGTGGACAGAGCGTCTGTCCGGAGACCACCTCCGTGGTGTGGTGGATAGTCTGGGAGACCACCTCCGTGGTGTAGCGTCTGTCCACCTCCACCTCCGTGGTGTAGTGGGTAGAGCGTCTGTCCTGAGACCACCTCCGTGGTGTAGTGGATAGAGTATATGTCCGGAGACCACCTCCGTGGTGTAGTGGATAGAGCATTTGTCTGGAGTCCACCTCCACCTCCGTGGTGTAGTGGGTAGAGCGTCTGTCCTGAGACCACCTCCGTGGTGTAGTGGACAGAGCGTCTGTCCGGAGACCACCTCCGTGGTGTGGTGGATAGAGCGTCTGTTCAGGGATCGCCTCCGTGGTGTTATGGACAGAGCGTCTGATGTTTGATGGATGTCCCCTGGCCTGTTAACGTTCGGCATTGAGGGGATGAAATAGCCTGGGGCTGGTTGGCTCTGAGTTGGGTATTCCTAGTACACCTTTTTAACCAACAACGGCGGACGTTGCCCTGACAAACTCAGAATCATAAAACAGTTGCAGCACAACTCAAAAACAGTTATACGCTTTTCATCCAAACCGAGTACATGTATTAACCAAGGCCTGAAGTGGTGCCTTTTGGTGGAAATGATTTCTATGGTCCGTTTCCATGGCAGCACGTTTGATTTTGACTATTTGTGTTGAATTGTGTTTGTCAGGACCATATGTAGAAGGTATTCTTTCATGAAACTGTGCACAAACAAAAAGAAGGTTGTCAAGAGCTGCTTATTGCTCTTTGGGATTTATAAAATGTGTATTGTTTCCTTTGACTTTGATAATGGTGTGCACAAAGTTACCAATCTCAATTCCATGTAAATGTTTTGACAGCTCAATAACTATATTGGAGAGGACTTCTCTCATCAAGTTGGACCTTAAGTAACTATCAGATGATTTGTTCAATTCGGCTTGAAATATGTGCACAGCTGGTTGTTGCAGGTGGGTCAGCAATTATCCGGCGACGAAGATGAAAGGTCCCCCCGACTACTATCCCTCATACGGTAACACGGAGAAAGCCTGGTGCCCGGGCGCGCGGGACTCCAACCAGTATGTTGAGGTAAGCTTTACTGCCACAGCAGTAGAGATCCATTCTATCCTGGCGACTCTCCTGTGACGTCATTACCGCCGTCGGTCCTGACTTTATCTGGGAACAGAAGTTGTCTTGCAGAAGTTTGTGTCGTACGAATCGTTGTCATATCAAACCTGGGCCAACTTGACCGGGCTATTTGTCACTGAATTGAAAAAGAATTCAAATACAATATACTGGATAATATTGTTTCAAACTCCACGTGACCGCCTCCGTGGTGTAGTGTTTAGAGCGTCCGCCCGGAGATCGGAAGGTCGCGGGTTCGATCCCCGACCGCGTCAAACCAAAAGACGTTAAAATATGGTACTTGTTGGTGTCTGCCTGGCGCTCGGAGTCAGTATAATGTGTCTGAGTGGGGTATTCATGCTTCACTGCGACATGGTATCTCAGTGGGCTAGCACTATAAAACCAGCTTCAGTCTGGGCTAGTACAAGCTGCCGCACATACACATACACACGCATGCACGTCATCATATGAACGAAATATTCTCAAGCACGACGTAAAACCCAATTTCACCTCACCTCCCCGCACCTCATACTCCGAGGGCACATGTATCAGTATTATTCAGTAGGGAGCGTCACGTTCGTCGAACGTCGAACGAATGCAAATATGCGCATTAGCATGAACAGATACAACACATAAGGTTTATACTCTGAGTCAGTAAAACGGATTTACCGGACATTATGCAGTTTACAGTTACGAACTATTAATTAATCTTGTTGTCGAGGCGACTCCATTATGTATATCTGGACACCACTTGGCAGAAATCTTAAAATGTCATGACTTGACTACATAATAATAGGGAATCCAACAGCGGCCCTTTATATTATTTCCCACTAAGCTGTCCATTGACTTGGTTTAAGAAGATTACTTATCGGCTACATCAGCCTCAGTACAAACTAACTTAAGAACAATTTATGTAGTCATTTTTGAAAAATGTAAAGAAAACTTTTTTTTAAATTACATTTTGAGACATCTATTTTGTGAATCTCTCTTAACTTAACCCTAACTTGTCTCTTTGACTAGCACCCGCTTAGATACTGTTTATTTCCCAGCTTGGCATACCTGAGGCTATCTACATCGCGGAGATCCACATCTATGAGGTGTTCTGGGCTGGTGGCGTGGAGTCGGTGTCAATACGGGATTCGAACTCCAAATGGATCGTGGTTTGGAGCACTACCACTTTCCTGAAGCTACAGAAGAGTCGGATTTTCATACCTGCGTTCATGGTAAATCTTAAACTTTTTCTGATATTAACAGTATTTTTTATTAAACTGTTTTTAATTTAAGGTCCATATCTTCCAGATTCATGTCTTAAAATTCTATTTATTCTTTGTACTCAAGCTTTGGTCTCATTCTAATTCTACGCTGGGCAAATTGGTTGCTGTAATAGTTCCCTATTTGTTACGAGGGAGGAGTGCAGAGAAAGGGACAGCCAGGTGTTAGAGAAGCACGTGCACAAGTGCCCACCAAGTTATTGATTCATTAGCCTGTGCTGTGCCGTCTCCATCTTTATCGCACACCTGGCTGTCCCTTTCTCTGCACTCCTCCCTCGTAACAAATGGTGAACTGTGTCAAAATTTTAATGATAGTTTCTTAAAGAACTTTTTAGGTGGAGTCCGGAAAATTTTCAAATATAAGAAAGCTGTTGGGTATTAGTAAATGATAAAAATGTGTACTATTTATATTTATGTGGCAATTTTGTACAATGATAAAATTTGCAATTCATCGGTCCGTTTCTGACTCCAACGGACTGTAGCCCACCATGAATCGGCTATTAATGGTATAGTTATACCACCACTGAGTGGTTTCTCGGTGGTGTCGACTCGTGGCGCTAACATACTACAAACTTACAACAATAGGGTGTGTGCAACTTTTCATGAATCGATTTGTTATTTATTTCCCTTCAGCCTCCGGAATTCAAGAGTGACGCCATCAGGATTGACCTTGACCTTGGTGCTACTGGCGAATGGTCCGAGTTCGACGCTGTGAGAGTTGTTGGGAGTAGGACTCGCAGAAGGATAAGCTTGGTGTAGTTAGAAAGAGAGTATGTGATTTGGACACTGCTGACCACCACAGCTTGCCCCAGATTGTCTGGCTCCGTCCGGTGTCACAGCGTGTCTATTGCAGTGTCTGTACACCAGTAACAAAATGTAACTGAGCAGTGGCCAATAGTCACTGGCGCTCTTGCTGTTTTGATTTTTATGTATGCAAATATTTGATTGTCTGTACAGGCATGGAAGAAACACAACTGTGGTTTGAAGATTTACTTACCCTTTATGTTAGATCAGTTAATTTGCTTCCTGTGCGTCATAGAGCAATCTTCGTGTGTAGCACTGCCTCGCTGATATTGGTAAAACCTGTCGTAGAGTGATGTTGTATATCGGGACATGCTTCATACCTTGTCACAGTGATGTTGTATATCATGACACCCTTCATACCTTGTCACGGTGATGTTGAACATTTACATAAACATGACACTGATCATCAATCTATACATATTATATAACCATGGCTAAGTCTTGTATAAACGTATGAAAGAGTAGTCTATTTGTATATCATGTAAACAAAACCCTTTCTACATGCATAAAGAATATCTGCTTAAAGCAGAGTCGATTGCACATTTCTAACAATTCTGTCACGTGAGTATGTATTTGTTTCAGCAGTCTTACAGCTGAACCGTGTCGTATGTAAACAATCGAGTCTGGACCAGACAATCCAGTGATTGTTGTAATGGCGTATGACCTTTCGTCAATAAACAATGCCAAAAAAAGGATTCTTTGTTTTCATGTTGAAAGGTATCCAGAGGAAGGTGATTGAGAGCATTCGACCTTTTGTAGAATCTCTAATCGGTACCTCACAGTATTCAGGCTCCCTTCAATCCCAATCATTGGCGTCAGCTGTTATCTCATCCCAGATGGGGGTGGTGGGGTAGTCTAGTGGTTAAAGCGATGGCTCGTCACGCCGAAGACCCGGGTTCGAATCCCCACATGGGTACAATGTGTGAAGCCCATTTCTGGTGTCCCCCGCCGCAATATTGCTGGGATATTACTAAAAGCGGCGTAAAACCAAACTCAGTCAGTCAGTCAGTCAGACATCCCAGATGATAGCGCCCCCACCTGAGAAACGCCCCCCTTTCAGAACACATTGCCTGATGTAACCCTCATGTTTGAGCCTCAGGAAACATGTCCTGCCTTCAGGTCGGTAAGACAGGAGACATGACTCAATGGTGTAAAGAACCCTTTCTCCACTCACATACCCCCATCGTAAGGCTGAGACGTCCACGTCATTTTCTGACGTCAGAATTGGCCGTCAGCCGTGGCGTCTTTACGGATGCCGTAGACGAGTACACGTCGTCAAACTATTTCCGCAGACAACTGTCGCCAGGTATGGTACGGGTTGTGTAGAGGTGAGATGAGGAACAGTGGTGTTTTTCTGACTTCTGTACTTTTTAAGACTGTTCTGAGTAGACATGATAAGCGTCTGGTAATCTGGCCCGAATATATGCTGGTGATTTTCTCCAATATCACACGTTTCGTGGACATCTGCTTGGTTGCGTTTCTTTAACCATTCTAAGAACTATTTCTCTGGTTAAAGTTCGAATTTTTTCATTTTTTTTTAACAGTGGTAGATCAGGACAAATCAATACAGTTTAGAGTCATCTAAGTAATGGGGAGAGGAGGCTCCATTTGTGATTGAAATTATTTATTTTATTATTTATTATTGATATATGATTTTCCACAAAGAATATTTATTTTAGAGTTTTTACATATAAAGTTAGATTGGGAAGCATATTTTTAATACTGCATATGTGAATATGTCTCTTCGCAGCAATAGTGATGTGATTTCGAAAAATGATTCACAAGAATGACCAATGAAAATATTTCAAGCCACAATATCTTTTGTATCTGAATGTATACACATAGAAAATAGTATCGCAACCTGTATATAACAATTTCTATTCATAGAACAATTAAGTTTGTTTATAAGATTATGTTGACCCTTGTTGACCTTACATTAAGTTTAGATATACACGATCAAAGGCGAGCATCACGTACAATAGCTGTACCCGTCATTAAGCAATATCAAGTTGTACGGAACCACTTACAGCTTTGATAATTAAAAAAATCAATTGATTTCGTTGCTCAAAGATGGTAAGTTATGGTCTATATTTAATTGATGGCACGAGATGTTGGTGGTCATCCATCTGCAACCTATGATGTGAAGGACAGTCAAGGTTCAGACCGACCACAGTAATGTTCAGCCCCTAGGGAGCATACAGCCCTTCTCAGGTTCACAAAAGCCTCGGTAATCTGATATGTATTCAATATTCCAGAACCCGATTAGACAAACTATGAACGTTACATCTTCTTGAGCACGGTGGTGTAGTGGTTAGCACGTGGCCTCTCACGCCAAAAGATAGGGTTCGAATCCCGGTGGAGACACCAAAATTTGTGACCTTATACTGTGTTGTGTCCCTGGGCAAGGCACTTCGTCCAGATTGCGCTCAGTCCACCCAGATGTTCAAAATGGGTACCTGAGAAGCGGATGTACGGACCTATACGGCCGCGCAAAGCGCTTAGTAGCAGCTTTGAAAGTACAATTCCGTCAGGGTAATACTGTAACGCCAGAGAGCAGCATCGTGTTGGATTCTAGGCGCAAAAAATTAGCATTATTATTCTTATTCTTGCTATTGGACACATGTAAATTATGTGACACAAAAATAGCCCGTGAAATGCGCGTGATTAGACTAATACAAGACCAGCCGCATGTGAGTATCAACCCGTGACTGCTTATTTACTGTTTAGCAAACATACAATGAACTGTTTTCACCGCACTGGCAGTCATGCACAGCAGGAATTATAATTACAATTGTCTCCATAGCTTTCTGTATATTTGGTCCATGAATCATGCATTACAGAACATGATCTGTTTTTAGACTGATTAAGATAGCTTTAAGTATGTCTCTTAAGATATTACTTGCATCCAGCAAGCATCTCGGCTGACTGAGTGATCAACACGAACAGAATGAATAATTTAGTAGCTCTTAACATACATTCCGTGCAGCAATAGAAACATCGGTCTTGCTTGTATGTGGACACCTGCCGGTACAAAGGGAGCTTGTTTGTTTATCACTTGGGTTAAAAACATGAAGAGAAGAAACTTGTTTCTGCATAAACAGATTCCGTTGGAGTATATGACAAAACAGTGGTGACCATTATATCCGATCACCAGGTCACAGAACAGGTTACAGTCAATGAACGATATGAGTAATTCGCCGGAAAAACACAATGTTACCAAACTCCTCCACGATAGTACAAAAAACCCGACACGAATAGGACTAGACACAAAATTACCCGTGCAGATACGACACATGCCCATTATTCAGCTGATCAACATCTGAGGAGAAACGTGAGACAGCTTTCAGTCATCCATCCACACACAACAAGATGCACATGTCACGGACAGCATTTATCACATTATTGATCTCGTGGTTCGTCAAAACATCGTATTCCACGTGTTGGTGTTTAATCGGGTAATTACAGACAATCTCTCTCATCTCATACAAATAGAAATAACTGCGTTTGTACTGATTGGAGAAGTTTGACCATGGAGGCGAACCAATTATTACGGGACTGTCTGGTGGGCTTCTGTTTTCACAATACGACCACAGCTGTGCAGCTGTACAGTTATCCTGATGCCGGCCTTAGTACACAGAGACATAGAATTGAGTGAAATGACGATATTAAAAACAAAACTGGTATTCGGTATGTCAACACCAAAGGATCCGGTGGTAAGCCTTTGATGGTTGCATGCCATTATATACCGATGGTGTGGATCGTTACTTACGTTACCATCACATACCATACCTGAAGTGAGTGAGTGAGTGAGGTTTTACGCCGCTTGTAGCAATATTCCAGCAATATCACGGCGGGGGACACCAGAAATGGGTTTCACACATTGTGCCCATGTGGGGAATTGAACCCGGGTCCTCGGCGTGACGAGCGAACGTTTTAACCACTGGGCTACCCCACCGCCCCTCACATACCTGTAGAGGCAGGCGCATATGCCCTATTTTCTTAATCTTGACCGTATATGGGCACTTCAACCATAATGAAGGCTGAAACTTAGTGTGCTTAACAACCTCCATGAAGGATAATAACAAGGCTGACAACACCACATATATAATAACATCTGATTAAAACAGGGACAATGCCACAACGAAAGTTGCTCATTCACAAATCAGATCTAAGCGTTGTAATTGGTGCCAAACAAACTGAGAAATGACGGTCTTTGTGCATTATGTTGGCAGACAAGATGGTGTTTGATTGTCATGAATCAATACGCTAGGACTGACAATTGACGGATAAGGATTTGACATATACGTATTAAAAACTGAACCATAAATCTGAAATGATGCAGTTATTTTTCAGAGCCGGAGGTTTCAAATCATATACTGAACAGCAAAAGAAACGCAAGTCTGGCTTTTTGTTATGTTTTTGAATAGAAGACAACCAAAATTATGTCTAATCATTTATTCTATAGAAAACACTGTCAATTTAACAGCTAAAAGTTACTGTTGACATTGAATTGCAATAAGTTCAAATTGACCACAGTCCGTCAAATGGAGATTTCCCTGAACGCGAAAAGTGACAGTCTCTTTAGTAGCGCGAATAGCCACCTTGAGCTTGCACACATGCCGTGTAACGTGGGATCATTGAGTTCACTAGAGTCTGAAAGAATGCCTGAGGCAATTGGTTCCGCTCAAACACCAATCTCTATTCCAATTGTGCAAGTGTGAGTGGCTGTCTACCTGCAGCAATCCTCCGTCCAATTACGTCCCAGAATGTTCAATGGGAGCCATATACGGGGAAAGAGACATCCATGGAAAAACGTTAATGTTGTTTTGTGCCAGATAATCCAGATAATTCCAGCAGCCCGAAGACGACACCTAATCCTATCGCTTGGCACTACTCCCCTTGACCCGAGAACTAAGGCTGCTGTTACTGTTGCTGCTTGAGTTCGGTTCCTTAGATGAGTGAACCGGATGAACCGATCTTGCGCATGAGTTGTCACTCGTTGCCGTCCGGTACGGGAACGATCAGCAGCAACCTGCTTTGCTGATGACGTTGAGCAAGTCGTGTAATGGTGGTAAGATGACATCCCAATTGTCTAGCTACAGCGGTTGCAGAGCTACCTCCGTGCAACTCCGTGCCAATGGGCATTCCCCTCTGCTCAGTCGTTAGTCTAGGCATCGTTTGTGTGGCGTGTTCACCTCTTAGCGTCAATACTGGACTGTGTTTTGACACAAACCTTTATAAAGGATACCTCAGAGTGAAATGCATGCTTCTCATCCAGAACCGTCGATGCACGTGCTAAAACTATGATTTTGCTGCGCTGTTGGTGTGTTTGTGCGAATGGTTCGTATGGACGTCCAATTTCATGACATCATCTCATCGGGGATCATTACGTCACTTTACCATGAACGTTCCATAAGCATGAACGCTTACCTTCATGAAACTTGCGAAACTTGCGTTTCTTTTGCTGTTTAGTATACTAACTACTTCTGATCGATACAGAGGATTTGACAGCCGCATCAAAGAAATGTATTCTCACAACAACACAACTCAGTGGGACCATAATCTAATTTAGAACCGTTAAATCTAAAGGTTACGTAGTTTCAATGAGGCTCAAATATCGTCTAAAACTAGTTATGAGCAGTATATTGATACAACGTGATTTCTCCATCCCTTGGATGAATTAGTAATCATTGTGTGAAGCTTGTTATCGTAAGTAAGATTGTTTGCCTTGTAAAGAACCAGAATACATGTCTTCAACGTACAATTATATAGATACCTGGTTCTTAATTTGTCCTGTTATATATACAGATATGGGGTAGTACCGTGTGAACACTTGGTGAGTTTTATTGTTCTATTTGGTCTACCGAACAGTGGATTGTTGATTCATGATCAATATATATTATCATTAGTCGTCAATACTTGAATGTCCAAAGGCGTCAAGAAGAAATATCTGGACTGTCTTTTATATACTTATATATATTTCAGAAGGTACTGATCAATACAATAGATTATATCCAGCAAATGAGCTGTATTATTAACGGTAGTGTTTCTAGTCGCCACAAATACTATGTTCTTTCATCTTACCCTGTCGAACTAGCTGGGGGTTATATCGGCCATACCTCTGTCACACACAACAACAGGAAGTATACAGCCATGTTTCATGGTTCCAGAATACGTAGCAAACAAGAAATGGTAATCGATGGTATCATATATTTGGATCTTAAGTCTGGTGTGTTTCCGCGACTGTTTTCTACCAGGTAATATTGCAAGAAGGTCAATTATGTATTGGTGACACAGTCAGCCGCTATCGGTAAATATCTGTAATGGGTATAAAGAACAGAGAGTTATGATATGTTGTAAACGGAATAATAATCACCATAGGACAAGGTGGATATCAGGTTCCAAGTTTTCATTTGAGAATGAATGAATGAATATTGTTTTATGCCCCATCAGAAAAAAAAATGTTTCAGAAAGGGCGAAACAAAGTGAGCATGACGGAGTACCTGGCCGTGTGTGACGATACATAGAACAGAGCATTTCTGGCATTCGTAATAGCACATCTGAAAAGCGAGAACTCAAATGCCTGTGAGGTCGACGGCGGTGGCTTGTACAGTTGAAGGTCCAGCGCGTCGGGTCCATCCATTAGCTTATCACTTTGTCAATTCAATGTCAGCTGTCCTGACAGAAATTGTTTCGACCCTGTTTTTCTAATATGGCAACTACGTCAGTCATATCTATTGACGCCCATCAGCCATTTTTTCTCAGACCGACATGGAACATGGCACATGTTTAAATTTTCATGCATATAAATCTATCCTTTGTTCTCCTCACATTCAATCAAAATTGCTTCTGTAAACATCTCCATAGATATTGCCTTATGAGGTTTCTCCATGTACATGGGCGGTGGGGTAGTCTAGTGGTTAAAGCGTTGGCTCGCCATGCCGAAGACCCGGGTTCGAATCCCCACATGGGTACAATGTGTGAAGCCCATTTCTGGTGTCCCCCGCCGTGATGTTGCTGGAATATTGCTAAAAGCGGAGTAAAACCAAAGTCAGTCAGTCAGTCAGTTCTCCATATACTAAGATGATGTTTCTTCAAATACAATGTAGTTAGATTTTGATATCAGTTAATGGTAGTCACGCAGACAATTTTTATATCAGTTGCGATATGAACTGCAAATAACTCCTCAAAACATCGCCTAAGCAGCTCTAGGTTATTGACACATGTTGTACACGTTTCCAGGAGAAACATCATGTTTTCTTTGTGGAGCTAAGAACCTATTTGGTTGAACCACCATTGACTTTCCCGCTCTGGAAGCAGACTTCTCCTCAGTCTGTATTTAATGATTAAAAAATCATGGATGAACGAAGTGTATACAAACATTTAAAGTGTCGAAAAAGACCCAAGTACAACACACCTGATCTGAAAGACGCTGTATTTATCTTTCACCGTCATCAAAACATTTCAAACTGTTATATGTGTGCGTATCGCCGAAACCATTGTGGTGATTGTCAAGTCAGTCGTTGATGATGTGGGGAAACTGTATCAGAGACATGTGTTCTTGAATTATAAACACTTCTATCCATTACTGGAGAGTTCATATGGCTTTGAGAGTTCACATGACTAGACATGTGCGTTGACATTAGAATAGGGTAAGTAAGTTGGAACAGTATTATAGTTGGATTCGAACCAAGGACCATACCATTATAGCACGCCCAAGGGGGGAAACTTAGGAAGACTTGATTCCCTTCTAGTGAGGGATAGGATGGTTAGCTGTCTTAAGTGGCTTTGTGTTCTCTGCTCTTACTTGTCACGTGAATACAGTTGATGTTTTATAATATATTGATAATAATGATAATAATAACATTTGCTATGGACTACTTCGATGGTGTGGCCGGTAGGGTAGCCCCGTGGTTAAAGCATTTGCTCGTCACGCCGATGATCCGGGTTCGATTCCCCACATGGGTACAATGTGTGAAGCCCATTTCTGGTGTCCCCCGCCGTGATATTGCTGGAATATTGCTACAAGCGGCGTCAAACTAAACTCACTCACTCAGTATAGTGTGGTGCGTTGTTATTATATTTTATGCATTGATTTCAAAACCTAGTAAATTTGATAGTACGATTGTTAGTTGTGTAACATCTCATTGTTGTTGGATGGGACTGGAACTCCTTCCAATCTATCGTTGGCTTAGATGCCAATATTTGTTTTTATCTCTGATACAGTGATGTTTATCATCAACATTTGTTTTCACTGATTAAAACACGAATCATGGCCCTTGTTGTAGGTGAAAGAGCAATTGCACTCAACCACACCGACCATATCGGATCTGTAAGTAAACAATCTGTATGTTTGAACACAATAGCCGACATCTGTCAATACATTGGGAATCTGTATAATTGCTCGTCAATTCTGAATAACTATTTCCACCGCTACAAGAGCAAGAATGACAACAAAAGCAGCTAATCAATATTGATTGTTCAAAATTTTTCCCTGACTAATAAGACGCCATCAACAAAGACGATATTTGTCATTGATGGATTGATTAAGGCCATTTAAAGTTAAACTGGGTGTTTCTTGTCACTTTGAGGAAAATTTTTGTTCTGTACAAGTCCAGTTTTAATGTCAGTAGAGAATGGGTGGATCTTACCGGAAGCTTAATACTCTCCTGCCTACTTAGGTAAAAAAGGGAAGACGACAGGGCGACCTTCTGTAAGTCAGGACAAGAAGTGGTCTTTCAGGCCTTCAGAAAACCCTTTCTCATGTCATGACCTCGAAACATTTACTTTTTTCGTGAAGGACAGAAAACCAGTTCTGCTTGTCCATCGAGAGCACTATTGATTACCAAATATCCGCAGCTTTTGAATTTTAGCTACAAGGAAAACAAATATAGCAACCCTGATACTGTGAACAAAGGTTGATGTAAATGTCCCGTGGTATGATACTGATCACAGAGCAGGACACCAATGGCAAACAGCAGGCGATGGCCATGAGGTTGTTAAACTGCCATTTAACCCTGGAGGAACACTATCGTTTCAGTTATCTGTGGTCAGAGAAAATGAACTGGATTATTGTATTTTATCTGACATTGGTGGCACTGACCGCCGGTAACCAAACCTGTGTGGACTTCATGTCCACAGTCACATTGAAGTCCACTGGCTATGTATATGCTGGTGCAGGGAAAGCGTCTGTAATAGCTGAAAGCAAACTCGACTGCATTGCCTACTGTTACTTTAAGGGGTTCCACATCGCTCTGACCTATGACCCAGATACCCTGAAATGCAAGTGTTATAGCGTGGAGGTGACGAGTTTAGACACCTTGGCTCCAGCTGCGGTCTTCTATGAGGCAACTGAAGAAACTAAACAAGCTGTTCTAGCAGGTAAGAGTACAACTATATGTCTGTCACGATGTTGTCAGCACAGTCTGTCATGTGTTTTCCTTCATTGAAACATGCATGACCTATGGTTATAAACCATTTGTTCCAGCTTCACTATACATGTTCTTTTTCCTAAAAAGGCCTATCTGCCACCATTAACACCTGTTCCATATGTCACAGCTGGGAATAGACCTGGTAAACGTACAGAGATCCACCCTTGTGTGCGCCAGAAACCTATGGTCGTTGCCCGAATCTTAGATTCATTGTGACTACGGGTTTGTCAAGGCAATCCTAAGCTCGTGAACTGAGCCAAAATTGTAAACATCTAAGACCAATATGTGTCCTAAGGATATATGCAAATATATCCCATCACACAATTCCTCATTTTGAAGTGGAGCAGAATTGATTATACACCAGGAACCAACATTTCAACTTTTAAATTCTGTGAGAAAATTTCTGTTCTGTGACATACATGTATATATGTCTGCCAGTTACTCCGATGTGTACTCTTCAGAAAAAAAAAGGAAATGTATCAAACGTATTTATGTGTACATAAGTCCATTAAGCTTGAACACAGATGAAGGAAATTCGACTCAGGGATGAACATATGTATTGTTGTCATTGTCAGCATTAATTCAGTTCCCTCACTGCACATGTGTGGAAACAAGGGGACGTTCAGGTCAGTACCTGGTGACACCACCCCTTGCTGTCGTCACTGCTCGACACCGCCGTGGAAGGAAATTGCATGAGTCGTCGGATGTTTGCCATTCCTCCTGTATCCCGTCATCAGGTTCTGCAAGTGTTTGAGGACGATGGTGACGTTTACGGACGCGTCGATCAGGTTCTGCAAGTGTCAGAGGACGATGGTTACGTTTACGGACGCGTCGATAAGGTTCTGCAAGTGTCTGAGGACGATGGTGATGTTTACGAACGCGTCGATCAGGTTCTGCAAGTGTCTGAGGACGATGGTGACGTTTACGGACGCGTCGATCAGGTTCTGCAAGTGTCTGAGGACGATGGTGACGTTTACGGACACGTCGATCAAGTTCGTCCCATAGATGCACGATCGGGTTCAGATCAAGGGATTTGGAAGGCCAGGGAAGGACATTGTCGTTTGCATTTGCGAGATAGGCACCTGTAACAAGAGCTGTGTGGGGTCGAGCGTTGTCGTGGTGAAACAGCTCTCTCTGGCGGTTAAAAAGTGAGAAGAGGTGATGTCGCAGGATTTGATCGATGTAGCGATTTGCTGTAAGATTTCCTTGAAACACCACTAGCTCTGATCTACCCGTGTAGGACATGGTTCCCCACACCATGACGCGCTCTCCACCTAATCTGTCCACCTGTCGCACGCAGTTTGGCGCAAAACGTTCGTAACGACGTCGATAGACACGTTGTATCCCATCCCGTCGTTACATGGGGGAAACGCGATTCATCGCGCTGAACCAAAGGCGTCGCCTGTTTTCTCAGACGTGTTTTTTCTGATGGTTTGGTCGGAAATTCATCGAAGACCAGTCACATGTCCTGCACTGTCCGTTGCTGAAGCGAATCGGTGACGTAGGTGAAACATCTGGATGAATCGGCCCTAAGCAGGAGTTGTCACGCTTGGTCTTCCACTTCTAGGACGATTTTGGGTCGAAATGAGGCGGGTATATCGGGTATTTTCAGCATGCACTTTTCGTGTTTAGTTTTCATTATTTATGACAAACACATTTTGGGATGAGGTTGCGCGCAATACAAAAAAACGCGACATGATTAAGGGGATTCAAACATAGGAATTGTCTTAATGAATATTATCAAAATATATTGAAATGAACTGCTGAAAACGTCTGAGCGTTTCTTATTTTTGAAGAGTGTATATCTGTCCTTTGAACATGACAACTTTGCAGATTTAGATACTTTGTGGCATACGTAATCACATATGCATGACAATAATTGACATAATTATGGCAATAGTTTTAAATAGAAGAACAGACGCTACACGTCATGATCAACCAAAATAGAAGTCTGGCAATAGGCAGATTACCTTTCCAAGTGTTAAACCGTGTTTCACGTTGCTAAGTCTGCCTGGTTCAACCTCGTATTTACTCACAGCAAAACTGTCTTATTTGTCTGCGTTTTCATATTTACCTTTTGTCAAGTAATGCCTGAATAGTAACAATGTTGGATCTAAATTCACTTGTCTATTCAGGGGATTACACAATAACAAGCAATCTTTGTGTCTGATATGACAGAGGCCAGCAGATACAGAAATACAATGTTAGTCATGAAAAGCTACCGTCCAGAATTTGCTATTTTGAACTATTCACGTCAGGATTAAAGGTGGCGTTTCACAACCTCAAAAATGCATGCACTGTTGTCATTTTTGTTGAATTATCAGAATAGCAGAAACACTATACGTGTGTTTTTTTTAAGAAAATATTTTGTCACGTAGGCTCCCCTTGCAGCTCCGACACGCTGAACCAAAGGTTTGTTTCAAAAGGCGATTTCGCAGCTACGACACGCTGCATCCAATAAGTCGATTTCCGGAGCGAGTGGTGTCAGCATTGGACTATTTAAATACTTACTACCAATATTTCTTTTGTGATTACACAATGCCATTTAAAAAAATGATCAAACGTAACATGTTTTATATATGGGATTACACTTTCTTATAGTCCGTTTGGCTCAAAAGCGGACCGATGAATTGCAATCTAACTCGAAAACTAATAAACATAAAATACTCAATGAAACGCTGATCATAATAAAAAATCATACCAACTCTGTGAGGTTTTTGCAGAATTTTTGTCCTAAAAATAATAAAGTTGTTTAACAAACTATCATTAAAATATTGACACAGTTCACTATTTATTACGAGGGAGGAGTGCAGAGAAAGGGACAGCCAGGTGTTCGAGAAGCACGTTCACAGACAAAGTTATTTATTCATTAACCTGTGCTGTGCCGTCTCCATCTGTTCACAGAGTTGGTATGATGTTATGATCAGCGTTTCATTGAGTATTTTATGTTTATTAGTTTTCGAATTAGATTGCAATTCATCGGTCCGCTTTTGAGCCAAACGGACTATAGTAAAGTACAAATTCTAGTGCTTTTTGAGTTGAGTCCCATCCGGGATTCAAACTCACACCCTCAGAGTCAGGCACCTAATCGCCAGCACACAAAGTCAGCCACCTAACCCGCTCATCAGTGGAAGTCGGACAACTGGTAGTATAGACTGCGGACTTTGTGTACCCCTCTGATAAGTGTTAATTGGCTATGATCAAAAGGTACTAGAATTTGTACTTTACTAAGAAAGTGTAATCCCAAATATAACACATGTTACGTTTGACCACTTTATAAATGGCATTGTGTAATCATAGCTTTCGGCCGTGGGAGCCGTGCCAATTTACACTTATCAGAGGGGTATTTTTGTGGAAGTCGCGGTGGCTGAGCGGGTTAGGCGGCTGACTTTGTATGCTGGCGATTTGATGCCTGACTCTGAGGGTGTGGGTTTGAATCCCGGATGGGACTCAACTAAAAAGGTACTAGAATTTGTACTAAGAAATCCCAAATATAACACGTGTTAATATTTCTGTTCTCTATCATAAACTGACTCTATGTATATCAAGGAAATGTGGTATTCGAAACCAGAAACAAATTAAACAATGTTTTCAGTTTAGATTTTGCATAACTCACGTACACGTATATTGTATGTAGCCCATCTCCCAGTGTTTTTGCTCATTCCGTGCAAGGATCTGGTGGTTTCGGGTGTGAATCCAGGTCTACATACATATGGAAATTATAAAAGTGACATGCTAAATATCTTTTGGTCAACTGAAATATTCGATTTGAAATAAATATATTTATTTTGTTTCCACAAAATACCGTCCAAACACATTTAGCCTCAAGTTTTACACACAAACGCGACTTCTTCTTCTTCTCGACCAGCGTTTCTTGAAGCAATGAATCCAGCAAATATTTCGCCTCCCCATCAACAAAACCCATCGAAACTTGATTGGTCTTACCGTAACGTTTAAGTAGTGTGAGCGGATCGCTTTCCCAATTTTGCGCAAAGCAATTATTGTGCGTGAAGAATTCTTGTGTTGCCATTATAACGGTTTTATGTAGTCTCCGGTTTTATGCATATATTTGCAGTATTAGATCCTGACACATGATATATGTTTATTTAAAACATCACACAATGTTTTAACGAGAGCAAAGTAGCTTGTTACTTGGCAACCACGATATGGTAGTCGTAGATTCGATCAACACTCTTCATCAAAGAACAGTGGACATCATCCAGATACTCACGGCTTCGACCTTCCTAACATGGAATGTTCAGTCTAACTGATAAGCCGTACTTTAACGACAATACTGACAAGGTTCCAGCACCTACGTAAAGACCAGGGTTCTCAGCAACCAAATAAACGTATGGATGTTGTTAGAGGCGACTTCCGGGATCGGGGGGTCAAGGTCACTGACTGACTGTCATGTTATGGTATTCCAATTGCGCAGATTACTCACTGGTTTGTCTGGTCCAGACTATTATTTACAAACCGCCGTCACATATCTGTAATATACCTCACTGCACGTAAACAACAAAGGAAGAAGTAATCAAACACTATGAGAAACACAATATACATGTACCTAACATCGGTGTGGATGTCTGATTGCAGATACAGTGGATACCTGGATTTCTAGTTTGATCGGGGTATCATCTGAATACTCATTGTAAGTATTGAGTCAACATACAGGTGAGAGCCTATTTCTCTGTTGCATCATATTGGACTGAACACATCTGCTTGTAAAACTGACATCACTCTGACCATAAGCGGGTGACCAAGAACATAATGTGTCACCTGACACGCCGTTTAAAGGTCACCAGTCTCAGGCCATCTGATGAATGATGGTAACCTAGTAATTAAGGTTTTCACTTATTAATAATAACAGAAATAAACTGCACACTCTGCGGATGAGTATACACGGGATTTCGGCTTGACGAGCGAACGCTTAACTACTGGGCTATCTTGCCTTCCCATCCTCACTAAATATTGTCAAGACTGATACATGTTTGTATAGCACAGCATACGACTACGGCGGCCACAACGTCATTGGTGCTCCCAACTTCTACCCCAGCTACGGCAACACCGACAACGCCTGGTGCCCTAATTACCTTGACGCTGATCAGTTCATAGAGGTAAGTTTACAACCCTGAGTGTCGTAAATACAACCCTGTATGGTGTGATTACAACCCTGTATATCGTGATTACAACCCTGTATGTCGCGATCGTGTATACAACCCTGCATGTCGTGTATACAGCCCTGTATGTCGTGATTACAACCCTGTATGTCGTGATTACAACCCTGCGTGTCGCGATCGTGTATACAACCCTGCATGTCGTGTATACAGCCCTGTATGTCGTGATTACAACCCTGAATGTCGTGATTACAACCCTGTGTGTCGTGAGTACAATCCTGTATGTCGTGGTAACAAATCCATGCTTCATTGTTGCGACCCAGAATGGCGTGATTACAACCCTGTGTGTCGTGGTTACAACCCTGTATGTCGTGTTTACAACCCTGTAACCCTGTGGGTCGTGGTTGCAACCCTGTATGTCGTGGTTACAACCCTGTAACCCTGTGGGTCGTGGTTGCAACCCTGTATGTCGTGGTAACAACTCTATATTTCATTGTTACAACCCAGAATGTCGTAATTACAACCCTGTATGTCGTGGTTACAACACCGTGTGTCGTGATTACAACCCTGTGTGTCGTGTATACAACCCTGTATGTCGTGTATACAACCCTGTATGTCATGTATACAACCATGTATGTCGTGTATACAACCCTGTATGTCGTGTATACAACCCTGTATGTCGTGTATACAACCCTGTATGTCGTTTACAGAACCCCGCATGTCGTGATCACAACCGTATATGTGTCGTTATTCAAACCATGTATGTCATGGTTACAACCTAGTGTGTCGTGATTACAACCCTATATGCCGTGATTACAACACTGGATGCCGTGGTTAGAACCGTGTGGTTGCAACACTGTATGGATGTACAGGTATTAATATCCTACCGGCAGATGGTTACTACCTGGAAGCATGTGACAATACGTTATGGGGATGTAAGTCAAGAATTACCACTCAACCCAGCATCCTAGTGGACCAGCTCTCGTGGCAGTGTTAAGTACTGGAATTACCATTAAGATAAGCAACAAGCTCGCTTTGTGGAACGGGACACGCCACGTGGAACCTTTCGTGTTTGGAACCTCAACCCTTTATGAAAAATGCATTCCGTTCACGTTTCACTTTCTCGCAAAGTTTAACAACTGTAATGAAACATAGGTTTAATGGTGAACCTCTATTGATGCTAAGATTCCATACATTCGTGCTTGCTAATATACGTGGTCCACGAAATTAGGTGACGTCACAATTTACATGAAATGTTAATCCCTAAACGATCAATTCTCCCCAGCTCGGCATACCTGAAGCTATCTACATCACGGAGATCCACATCTATGAGGTGTTCTGGGCTGGTGGCGTGGAGTCCGTGTCAGTCAGGGATTCGAACTCCAACTGGGTGTCATTGTGGAGCACCTCTGCCGTCAGTGCCATCGAGGAGAGTCGCATCTTCGTGCCGAACTTTGTGGTAATAATATTGTTCTTTACAGGGGCTCTTATGATTTTAAGAAAAATGGAAGAAATTCAATTATTAACTGCGACCTTACAAGTAATACTGATTGAGTGATGTGTGAAATTACGGAATTCTGTGAAAAGGGAGTAATGTTTAAAACGGCAATATCGGGTTTCCCTCCCGTTGGACTAATTAAACTCGTACTATATTGTATTTGAACTTGTACTTTATCTAAACAATCATACAGACTCACGTGGAGGAATAATAAGCATTCTTTAAATTATATTTGTATTCCCAGTTGTGAACATTTGCGTCGGTAGAGCGTACGCGGGTTACGTAAAGTGCCTTATACTGTCAGGTAATGTTATTATAAAATGAATATTCTCAGAGTAAATAACAGAGAAAATATCTTTGAAAACGTTTTTATACATTGGCTTTTCATGAAGTCCATCAAGGTGAGCGCTATTTGCATTATTCATTACAAGAATGGAAGAGTAATATTGTCATTAGTGAAAGTAGTTTGCAGACTCGCTTGGATGAATAAAGAAGAGTGTTGACGCGTCCGTGAACGTGTGGTTTGATGATTTATAAACTATGTAATTGTAAATAGAAGGTTAACGCTAATGTTTATTTAATTCTGTGTGGTCCTCTAGTTGCCTAATCAGTTTTCCAAAGCAATTTGTTTTTTAACAGTGTTTGAAATATTCCGTCGATCCAATATTAACGTTGTGAATCTCGTATAGAATCATTTGTACTCAGTTTGTCTTGGCCATGGAGTAGATATATTTTAGGATAAAGAATTCCTATTGAATGACAATGGATGTGGACAAAGGTCTGTGATCATGTCAATAGCAGTCGCACGACTTGTGCATACATCCAGGAGGGTATTCGACTGGTGCTTTGTTTCATGGGTGGGCAGAGAGGGACACGCGTCTCGCAATTCTCCGTGCGCCTTTTAGGCGTATCAGAATACTACGATCATGGGTTCGAATCTCCATTAGCTCTTACTGATTGAAGGTTTGTTGGCACCACATCCGTGGGTTCCACAGAGTGCTTAAGGTCCACATCCCCCAACTTCTTCTCCAAGTGATATTAGCGGTATCAAATCAAATCTCAGATATTGCTTCAGATGCAAGATTAGAAGTTCAACCTATGACGCTAAATAGAACTTTCCTTTTGCGGGAATATAGGGCTGAAACATATATACGCTGGGTTGTGGTCAAGACATAGAGTCATGTAAATATAGCATTAAGATCATACGTTGTTTTACAGTTTCGTTAGTAGGCTGACAAATTCACTTACCATGGGTTAAAATCCAAGGTCAACCTTGTTTTCTCCTGACAGTACCTTACAACAGTAAATATATCATCGTGTCGTTTCCAGTCATTGAGACACGGAAATACTGTTGGAAGCTGAACTAACCCTACTCACTATTGAGTTAATAAACGTGGATCTGATTGAGTGCCTTGTTTACCCAAATGGCCACAGTAACGGCAGTTTTCGTTCTATTTCAATTTCAGCCACCGCCCTTTAAGTCTGATGCGGTACGCCTCGACCTTGACCTTGCCACCATCAATAACTGGTCGGAGTTTGATGCCGTGAGAGTGATTGGAACCCGGACACGGTGGAGGGTCTAGCGGAGATGTGGAACCAGTTATCTCCGACTACATGACGCCGTCATCTAATGACTAAGCACCATGTGAATCCTGATCCTTTGGGAGTTATTGTTTTCGTACATGTATTATAACACACAGGAGTGAGCGAATCTTCATCTTGTGTGTAGGACGTGTTTCCTGAATAAATTTAGGAACTGTCAGTTTAACCCTACATGCGGCGTTCTAAGCTTCATCATCTGTCAAAAGTAACCGCCATAACTGGATGGGTATGCAGTGTTAAAGAACCGCATTATTGCACTGTATTCTTCTCAAATACACACCGTCAATCCTCAAATCGATGGTGGAGATATGTTCAGTCTCCTGGACAAATATTTATATTAATGAAGGCATCATTGTCAAGCAAGAGTGATATATTACAACAAAGAACAGCGCAGAACAGAACAGTACTTCACTCTTGCTTGACAACGGTATAAGAATCTATACCGAAACGTTGCATCGTCATATTATAAAGAAATTGTCATCCATAAAATATCCCATCTGTATTATTACTCATCGTGCCTGAACAATTCAACCTTTTTAGGATTCAAGTGAGTGAGTGAGTGAGTGAGTTTAGTTTTACGCCGCACTCAGCAATATTCCAGCTTTATGGCCGTGGTCTGTAAATAATTGAGTCTGGACCAGACAATCCAGTGATCAACAGCATGAGCATCGATCTACGCAATTGGAAACCGATGACATGTGTCAACCAAGTCAGCGAGACTGACCACCCGATCCCGTTAGTCGCCTCTTACGACAAGCATGGGTTACTGAAGATCAATATTCTAACCCGGATCTTCACGGGTTTAGGATTCAAGAAATCTATGAAATTATATACTTTCTTCTTCGGTTTGAGTACACAAAAAGAAAATTCTTACATTTCCTACATTTCCTGACTTGAAAGCAGTGGCGATGCAACACTTGAGGCATACATAGCTCACTGTAAAAACACTTGTAAATCCTATTCTACTCTCTGGATCCACTGCCTATATTCTTTCCACTTCAAGGTCTGCTGTCAGAGGTGAAATAGCTTTAGAAAGAAACACGACAGCGCCGTGGATTAGAATACTTAGATATTACTCTCATCTGTTGACACTCAGCTCCACTTGACATTGGTTCAGACTGTTTGAGACATAGAAAACACATACAGATTGCAAATGTATCGTAGGCACTTTGCTTTTACCGCCGCCATACAGCTCGAACATTGCTGAGTGTGGCAACAAACCTTGCAGCCAGTTAGATTAACATGGAGATTTTACAGACGCTTCATACATGGCAACTATTTCTCATATCGAAGAAAGATGTTTTTTCACAGACAACGAGTTGCAGATTTAAGACAAGAATTACCCACATGGCTATAAACTCAGAACGTACAGAAATGTCAAGCAAGACATACTGGCACTGTATTTACAGTGGACTATGTCCAGCAATGAGAAAAACATTTGGGCCAGATTAAGATGCTGCACGTAGTTAACCTCAGGCAACAGAAACAGGCCGCTGTTCCGGTGACGCCCCTACATGCCTGATGCTGCTGTGACGCCCCTACATGCCTGCTGCTCCGGTGACGCCCCTACATGCCTGATGCTGCTGTGACGCCCCTACATGCCTGATGCTGCTGTGACGCCCCTACATGCCTGATGCTCCTGGTGACGCCCCTACATGCCTGATGCTGCGGTGACGCCCCTACATGCCTGATGCTGCTGTGACGCCCCTACATGCCTGATGCTCCGGTGACGCCCCTACATGCCTGATGCTCCGGCGACGCCCCTACATGCCTGATGCTGCGGTGACGCCCCTACATGCCTGATGCTCCGGTGACGCCCCTACATGCCTGATGCTCCGGTGACGCCCCTACATGCCTGATGCTCCGGTGAC